TCCTACGATAGCCCTTTGCCTATTTTCCTCACCCATCAATTTAACTGCCTACCAGACATCACCACTCGGAGCTGTAACTGACGACTCAAACTAACCATCTCTGAAAACAAAGCTGCCCGTCCTTTGTGCTTCCCATTCAGTTCAGGCAACCACAATTTACTTACTTTATCAACTCAGAAACTTGGGAGTCATCCCAGCCTTCACCTCCCTCACATCCCAGATGTAACCGCCCACCAAATCCTACAGATTGCATCTTTTTCCTAATTTCGTCCACCTCTCCCCATCCTCACTGCCACTTTTATAAAAAATATGAAAAACGCAAACACATATCAAAAACCTTTCCTTGTCTATACTTAAAACATTTTATGTAATGTGAAAGAACTAAAGTTGGCATCGTACCTCCATGCTGGAGGGCATGTTTCTACCTTCACAGAAACAATTACTCTTACATTCACTGGCAGTGGATCTATCAGCCATTTCATGTGTTTTTCAACTTGCTTTAAAATATAAAAACAAAATTCAATCTATTAAGTCAAAGTATTTCAAAACAACCCAATAATATCTCCCAAAGTAAAATGAAAATTCTCATTGTTTCTCATTATTATTAAGGATAAAATCTTGTTTTGGGATGACATAGCTCAGAACATTAAAAGAACAAGTGGCAAAAGACTACTGTTGCTGATCTGAATTCTGGACACTTAAGGAAGTGTCCAGGCCCTAAAAATATGTCAAAATGAACCATCATTGCTTGTGAAAATTTAGTTGGTCTTTCCCAATAAGACAGACCAACGTCTACTGGCACACAGTTTATTTTTTTATCCACATGCTTCCTTCCTAGAAATTTAGCAGAAATAAACATATAAATTAAATGCCTGCTATAATCATTACTGATATATGTGTCTGTTTCTGAGTGTATCAGTAGGTTACAAAGTAAAAAAGGTACCTGGACTTGGTCTATAGAATCAATAATGATGATGATGCTGCCTTGATGACGGGCAGAGAGTTTTTCTAGCCAACGTGGAAATTCTTCTAAAAGCTTAGCAGGATCCAGTGTCAGAGCAGATACTGACCAAGAGTGCTGCATCAACTACAAGATGAGAACACATGCCATTTAAAGTAGTTACACTTGACCACAGCTGGTGAGAAATATTTCTCTCTCTGCATTTTAAAACAAAATTGAGTCACTAAGAGGACCTGATTGCACTATTACTTTTAACCTTATGCAAAACCAAAACAAATGGATAATATTGAAAACTGGCTTATCATCAGGTACTTAGCCCTAATAACTTCTGAATCTAAATAAAAGTTCTGATAATTCAAAAAGATGGCATAATATACCTTCAGAGTAAGTCGTTTAATAATCAAGGAAGACTCTGAGCTGGTTGACATGGGCCTCCCCACAAAATGAGAAAGAATTAGCGTGTTAGGGGAATTCTTCTGTTGTAATTGAATCCTGAAAGAAAAAGACCTTTTACAAAACTGATAAAGCTCCTTTACTGTCAACAAAAAAAGAATTCACAGTGCATTAAGCACCAAATGCTATGTGTCAGCAATCACAAGGCCAATTTTGAGTAACTATGGGACACTTCCATTTTTACTCCACTTTTACACCCTTTTAAGTAAGCTTAAAAAACTACAGATTCATTTTAATTACAACCTGATATTAACTAATGTAAACCAAAATAGTACATTTGAGGTTAAAGAATTAGTAAAATGAGCATTAACCTCTAATTACAGATATGTTATTAGAGGAAAAAAGGTTTCTTTGTTAAGTACAAAAATAGTATTTTCCAACATAACTTTAAATAAAAGGGCAACAAAAAAGAAACAACATACACTAACTCTTCAGTGTAAATAATAATTATGAATGAGAGAAAATATTCTTACTGCTTATTTTTAAATAATATGATGAACTGAAATGAAACTAAAAGAATTTATTAGCTTATATGAACATTAGTCCATAATTTGAAGAACTAGTTTGCATTCATAATAAAGGTTATTCTTTATTTTGATATCCTTTACGACTCACTTCACTCTAATCTTTGTCTTGTTTCAAATATTTAAAATGCTAATGAAACTTTTAAGATGAAGCCAGTAATTAAAAATGAAGGCACATCCTCTCTAGAATTCAACTGATTCCATGTCGCACGGACCACTCCCTTACAAAGCAGTCCTGTAGCTCTGACCTGCATAATTCACATACACAATCACAAACTCTCACATTTCCTATTCCTTTCTCATTTTGTATCTTCTCTCTAACATCCCAATTGTATACACTTCAGGGCACGAATCTATTATTTCATTCCATGTTGCTTTTTTAATGGTTAGTACAGACTATGCAGGGAGGTAGACATACAATACTACATTTTGTTGAATGAAATGAGCAATTCCAATGACACAATGGTAACTATTTAATTGCATTGCATCGTACCACTTTGATAAAAGAAGGGACTTTCCAGAACCTGGTCCTCCAGACACCAGGAGGGGTGGAATCGGTGCCGGTGCCGCCACTAGGTCATTAAGGCGCTGGTAATACTAGAAACAAAAACAAATTTAAATTGAGAGGAAGCACGGGCCTCTTAGAATAGTAAATACAATCAACTTGTGATTATCCTCTGAAATCATTCTAGAAAAGCTGAATGAGGAAATGAAATCTGCTTTTAGTCAATAACAGTCTCATAATTGCTTATTTTTATGACTGGTTAAACATGCCCAAAGTAGTAAACTACAAATGGGNGGTAAAGGGTAGGATTGGCATCTTCTCGCTTACCCTGTCTTGTGTTCCTGCCCCTGTACCTGCTAACTCCAGCTGCTAATCTCTCCAAGTCTGGAGCCCTGGGAGAGACCACAGGAAAGCCTTCTGTTTGATTGACACTGCTGTGAGCTGGATGTTGGTGCTCTTTGGACTTGTTAAATGGTTAAAGCTGGCCCTTTTCTCTTAGGTAGTTTTTCTCTTAGATAGTTCTTCAAAGGCCCCTCTTCTCATCACTGGGACTCTTTAATCTTCCATTCTCTTGACCTGGGCTAGTGCAGCTCTCTTCCAGCTGTTGGTCACTCCTTCCTCAGCTGTAAGGAATCCAGTGATAGTTTAAGCTTCCTCTCTGCTGATGGGTCTTCATTCCTCCAAGGTACCCCTAGGTCAGACCCAAGATAATCCGCACTGGTTTATTCCCCCAGGTGCTCACATCTGATCCACAGGTGTTACAGGTTAGGTTTCCTGGGAAGCAGACTCTAAGATGGAGATAACCATACAAGATGTTCATTAGGGAGTGCCCTTGAGGTCAATACCTATGGAAAAGAAGGGAAAGAAGAAAGATTGGGCAGAGGGAGAAGTTGAGCTTTTTTGCAGCTTTAATGGAGGTCTTAGCCAATCTACAGGGATTTCTGAAGCTGAAATGGCCCTGTAGAGTTGTCCTAAATTAGGATGGGGGGCTGGGACTTTATACTCCCATCCTAGCTAGTTTTTGGTTCTCTTCAGCCAAAAAATCCCTGGGGGCACTGACAGTTGAGGGCTGTCAGCTGGCATCACTTCCAGAGGCTGAAGGAACAAGTCTTTCAGTTATCACATCGACCACAAAAGGAAACACAATCTTCATCCCAAAGAACTCTGGGGATGCAGGTCAGCTATAACTCCCTCAGTCAAAATAGCTAGTCATCCTATCTCTTACCCTTTAGGTTCTCTTCAGGAGGGAATCAGACACCAGGCCCTTGTATTCTTCAAACTCCAGGAGATGCATATTAAGTTCTTCAGGTGGTCAGCTGGGATAAAGGGAAACATTACCACCGTCACAATACCTCAAGAACTCTCTCCCTTTTAATGTCCTTTCTGATCTCCAACTTTCGATTCTTGTATTCTTAGTATGGATCTGTGGTTTAAGGATCATTCCACTAGGTTTCTGACCGCCTCCTTTGAAAAATGCTGTGTCTTAGTCTTGCACCGCCTTTGGAATGTGCCTCAGCTGAAGACTTCCATTATTATGCTGGCATAATAAAAAGCCTTCATCCATTCCCTCCAACCCAATAACAAACTACACTAACTTCCCACAGCTTGTGAAGTAATTCAGGTTATGCAGCCTGGGACTGAGTGCCCTAAAGCAATGAATCTTTTGTTTCCCCCACCTTTCATATATCCAGAAACATCCCTCTACCGACTTCCACATTAGTCAGGCTGGTTTTCATCTCCTCAAACCAATGTGGCTTCTGTTTCCTTTCACTATCTGCAAACCCTCACTTCTTTCAAAGTCTAGCTTCTTTCTCTAAGACATTTCCCTGGATAATCATACCTTTCAAGAGTTTATCACACCAACAATTTCATTTCAACCACCCTTACCTACTATGTGCAAAGCACTGCACATAACTGTTTTCCTGACTGTCTTCATTAATTGTGTCTATAGTCTATCAATCTTGTTTTTTTTGGTAATTGTTATTATGCCATTTGCTGCTTACATTCATCCCAGAAACCCTTATTGAGCTCCTGCTGAAAACATAATGTAGTGCAAATGACTGATGACCCAAAGAGAGTCAAGTGTGGCCCCAGTTCTCAAAAAGCATATGAGTTGTCACTGCCTTCCTTAATCTTTAAATGGTTTTGCAGATGTCCCCTAACACAAATCCAGGTTTGCTGAGATCATGGAGACTTCCCTCTATATAGAAATTACTGACTGCTTTTCTCATCAAGGACAATATATATATAAATTCATCATGCATACTGACCTTGGGTGACTGTTGGTGAATGCCTAGGTGACCTAACAGAGTGAGTGAGCCCAGAAGTGATCAGATACAGGGTGCTAGCAGGTACTCAATATAATAGTGTTTTTGGTTTTCAACATATTTCTTAATCCTAAAACATCACAGAATTTTCTAATTTGCAACCTCATAATCTGTTTCCCTTCTTTATGCTGAATTTAACTCACATACCTCAGTCTGTATTTTGTTTTAGTTTTTTTTTTTTTTTTTTTTTTT